TCCTGATTTGTACCGTTAATGTGGCCCGTTGAGGGGGGCCAATATGCTGAAGTGGCCCTCGGTGAAATTGATTTTGACACCCCTGTCTTACAGCGTTGGATCCTTCAGTGACGTCATGAATCCATTTTGGTGCCACCAGGCATCCCGAGGAAAATCGACTCGACCTTCACTTTCAACCTGCTGCTCTTCTCCGTGAGCGGACGAACTTTGGACAACCCGGACCTCACAGACCTTCAAATGCCACAAGACCGAACCGAACAGAGCTCAACGTATACAGGAAGGAGGAGCGTTTAATGTTGCTACGGATTCTGTGTTTTCCTCTGCTTACACGCTCACATAAACATGTTTATGTGTGACTGACAGTCATATGTAAACAGACTGAAACTGATTCTCTTTAGGGAGGAAACGGCTGCGGAGAAGAATAAAAAGCTAAACTCGAGCTACAATCTTTGCCTCACTTCCATAATATGAGCTAAGAGACGCCCAGCGCTGGACAGTGAACAATGTAATATTTGATCATTTTTCGACTGTTTTATATAACAAAATCTCATTATTTCTCAAGGTAATTTACACTGAGGGGCTCTAGTCAGGTCCTGAAACTGGTTAAAAATTAAAACAAATTAAACCGTAGTAAACTTCACTTTTACGTCATGAGTGAAAATATGAAATTTGCAAAAACCAAAACACTAATGGAGGGAATAAAGAAGAAAAAACAGGTGGATGAAAAGAAATACAATATCATCCCACATTCGACCTAAAAAAATCTATTAAATTTTTGTTTAAACATCAACAATTTACAAATTTAGTCATGATAAATAAATTCTGTCTACAATGTGTGCAGGGCTGACATGATTAATCAAATAATTGTGATTAATCAATTACTACATTTGTTGACAATTAGTTATATTATTGATTAATCATTAACTGGAGTATTCAGACTAAAAAAAGCAAACAGTCAAAGTGACGATTAAGCAAAAACTGTACAAAGAATATTTTGCATTTAAGATGAAAAAACTGTTGTTGAATACAGAACTTAAGTGCCATTTTTAGCTTCACTAAATTTATTAAGCAACTTTTTTGTTCATTTACAAATCAAAATTTTTTTATGCATTTCAAATATTGTGTAAAAAATAAAGGCTCAAATGTGTCAATTTTTAACCGATTAATCGTCAAAAATAATTGATAGAATAGTTAATTACTAAAATAATCATGAGTTGCATCCAGAAATGTGTGTGTGTGTGTGTGTGTGTGTGTGCTAGCATGTACGGGGTGTTAGTACAATAAGCCTGAAGGTATTGGGGTCAGTGGGATCTGATGTTTTAATAATCAGCTTAAACGCACAGAGGCTGACGCTCAGACTCTCCATCATGTCAGGTTTACTCACCTGGCCAGCTTGCTCAGACCCAGAACCCGTTTGTTAGGGAGGTAACCGATGTGAACCTGCACAGCGGGAAACAGTAAATTATCACTAGACACCAGTTTCTCTCTCATTGGTGGAGCAACAGGATAAGGCAGTGATCTTATCGTGAGAAAACGTTCTGCATCATCAGTGTTTAATAAAGTCCAGGTGTGAAATAAACTTTAAATGTAATATTCAGAA